TAAAGGATTATACAAAAAGGAGTCACTGTACAGTGGATTGCATTGATCGGTTAAGCCACTTTGATAGTTGTGTTGAAATTTGCTAAACATGCTCGGAATTATGTGCATATGCTGATCAAATAGGTGATCTATACTATAATAATTCTTTATTACCCTCTATGATAACGGAAGAAAATTCTAGTGCACTGCTTCCGTTATACGGGAAATAAAGCGTTATCAGCAGTGACCCGAGGTAGATTTTGAGAAAGTATCAATGTATTTTTTCTTTTCAGCCATTTTGTTTTTGAGATATCGATTCTAGGCCCCTAAGCTATTTATAATAGTATTTGTACTTTTGCTTTACATTCTTCGTAAATATAGAGAGATCTTATTATAACTATAATGATATCTAGAGTAACAGTAATAATTTATTTACTTGTTTGTAAGTGAAATGCTGGTCAGCCCTTAACGTAAATAGTATAATGTTGATATTGTACTCAGATGAAGACAGTTTATTAAAGAGAGATAATATAAGAGTCACGATAAAAAGCAAGCACTAATGAAGTTGGCAGCATTAAAGATAACTAAAAGGATTATGGGATGATGGGATACTAAACGAACTCGTTGAAATTACCTTGGAAAGAAGACCAGAGTGTGAGTGCCATGTGACGGATAAAGTAAAAGATAAAAGCTGCGTAAATATTAAATGAGATAGTTTAGACTGAATAATAATAATAACACAATGAAATAGTATTGATTGTATTTTCATTTGAGCATTGCTAGATATCTGCAAGATATGATTGCGTCATCGATTAAGGCTGGTTTTTTTTATAGAAGGACTAAACATCTAATTGGGATGTGCTTGTATTTTACGTTCAGCTAATCGAGCTTACAAACGTAGCAAAATATTATGTTCCCACCTTGCCTAATCATCTACGAACTTGTTAACTGTACTAAAAACCAGATAAAATTTCCATTATAATATAAAAGTGCATTACCTGCTTCAATGGGCGGAACAAAACTGAATCTATCAAGTTTGTATGATAATTATAAGGCAGTAAAATTGCTATATGGCCGTACTTTTAGATGGATTTTTTGCAGCCTGATGTAATTAATGCCTAATACCGTATTCAATCCTAATATAATCTGACAAGCAAAGCGAACAATATAATTAAACTACAGCGATCTATATTGGTGCGTTAAATAGATTGGCACTCTCTGACATCGACTAATATTGAACATTATTTTGCCTGACTATACAGGCCAAGGTGACAGGTTAACAACCAGGCTGTCCATAGCTGGAGGAAAGAAGGCCAGTGATGAATGAAAGAGATACAATTTTTGCCTCGGAACGACCTCTACATTTGACGACACGCATGTTCTTGAAATATAAAATAACTTAAATTACACTAAATGAAAATAACAACTGTCTTACGCTTTTGGGAAAGGTCTATTTATTATTCAGGTACAACTGATTTGGTAACAGTTTGGAATGTGCATTTTACGAATTTTTATAGCTTCCTGTAGCAGTATTTCACTCATAAGCGAAGGCGTATTGGCAAATTAGATGACTACTTAATATCATATTGGAATACGCATAATAGTATGCACTTGTCTAGCCCTGAGTAGGCCAAACTTTTGTGGTAGCGTATAGCAGCTAAAGAGATTCGAGTTACAAACCTTAATCTTTTGGTCGAATTAAATGTATTGTCCCTATAGGTAGAGTGTTTGGTCACAAGATTTGCTAGCTATGCAGGAATATCGGCATTTTCATCAGGTATCAAAGGACCTTTGTGGCTCGTCATATCCGTATCGAAGTATTTCACTTATACGGTTGAACGGCCATAAAAAGTCTTCTATGGAAGTCGTCTTTAACTGTTTCTGGTAGACGAATCCAAAGATTGGTGCAAGAACTTTCGATACCCCATATGCAAATTTCCAATGAAATTTCTTGTTAATACCCCTCTCAACTGACTCGTAAATACGTTTGTTAACGCGTTGAGCTAGTCCACGGTCAGATTCTGCGCTAAGGAGCGTGTTCAGAACTTAGGAGACCGTATGACAATTATCCTATTTGACAGTATTCTATTTGCTGAACTTACGCCAAATCATTGAATTTCCTAGGTACGAACAATCTGTCTTCAATAGGCCTTCTATTTTTCTTAACTTACTATTTATATCGTAGTTATGGCTCTGACGAGTTATTCACCACTAATATAAGATCGGGACTTTTTCAAACGAACTACGTCTTTAACGTTGTAAATCGACCAATCTCGCCAATCATATCTACAGAAAATCCGTACAGATAGATAGAAATGTATCTGAAGTTTGGGTCCGAGAATTGCGCTAAAGTGTCGAGCGCTTAAGGTATCATAAAAATTGCTCGCGCTATGTCGCAGTACCAGCAAGAGAACCTTCAGAACGCGGAGCACGCCAAAATAGATTATAGTTATGGTCATCTCGGCCTGCTCAGCAAACGGTGCAGTAGAATCGTCATTGTACGCGATAACAGCATTGATAACTAGCACATCCAAGCCTCCATAAGTTGCCCTAAAGTAGCCCCGGAACTTCTTTACTGGCTTTCGATGGTTAATGCGGCCTCTTACTACGTTCTTTGGTAATTTTTATCTACAGTCTGACTTTCTTTGCTTTTACCAGCGGTTGTTAGTATCACACTGTCTTAGAGATACAAAGGAGACAATTGTCTGTAACCAAATATTCAGAAGTGATAACATTACAGCTTATTTTCGCTTTGTGCATAAAATCCGATATCAAAAAAAAGAGCATACAAAAATTGTTTCAAGTAACTCAAGTGAAACAAATAAGTGGAACCTTGGTGCTAGACAACGAAAAAGGAAACATGGAAAAAAATTTACAATGGCAAGACATTACGTCTCGGATAGAGTGGTCGTCGAGATACTAGAGCCATTAGCAAATTCGAATCGTACAATAAAATCTCGTTTAGAAAGAACTTGAATTATATGGTACAGTTTTATGATTATTCTAAATATTAATGCGCTTGATAAATTATTTCTTTGAATTGGTATGCAATAAGCTTACATTTATAATGTTATTCTGCTATTCTATTTAATAGTCGATTTGTCCAGCGATAAGGGCTAATGTTGGGATCCTCCAAGCATGTGCATGTTGGGATCCAAGCAAAACTGTATGCAGAAATATTGTTACGCAGTCAATAGATTATATTATGGGTCTGATCGTTTTGAAGATTCTGCGATAAAGTCACTTTCACCAATGAAGTTTACAGTGCGCAGCGATGCTGCGCATGCACTCCCATAGATCTGGTTTGACCCTCTAATTATAACCTGTAAGTAGAAGCTGTATGCACAAGCCCATGTGTACCTACTCGTCATTGACCATGAAAATAAAAATCCATTATGTAACGTGGCATCAACATTTCATATACTTTACGGAAAATATCCGCAATAACATGATAAGGCGAAAAGGGAACAGGCCTGGATACTGATAAACGCGTAAAGTCTAGATGGGATGGATCAAGGAAGATACAAGGAAAAAGACGACTCCTTGCGAACATAAATAAATTACCTCTATGAAACGTGAACCATGCCTCGATTGTGGTTTTTGTATCTGCCTGCATTTTCTACTAGGCATTTTCAAAATAGAGTACGTCGTTTTTTGAAAATTTTGTTTATATTTATAGATGGGTCTTTTTTAGCCATGACATACTTCAAATAACTGTTTTTTATGGATACTGTTTTTTACGTAGCTTAACAATAATTTGAATGGAAATGACTGCCTGCAGATTGTTGTTTACGCGTGTGGGCTCGCGTTTTCCGACATTTGTTATTCGAAGCAGAGTGCGTTACTGCACGTGCTATAGAGAATAGGGAATGAAGTGTTCATCATCTTAACATAAACCGTAGAAACCTACAATTCATTTTCTTCGACAGGTAGATAAGGGAGTACTTACTGACATATCTACGGCTGCACCTAGATGTTTCCCTACCAATTTCCCTTAGTTTAAAGTGATATAACCCGCTTCAAATACAGCCGGAAATTGAGCGCAACCTTTTAAATCCAGAATTGAGGACTGGGTCTTCCTATCGCATATGACCTTCCTGGCAAGTTATTCTTGATAAATTATGAAAATGCAAACAACTTATTTTGAACTCTCGGTTGTGAAGTTCTTTCAGGATGACACCGGAAAGTAGAGTACTTTTCAGCCTACATGATTACAACCGGAAATTATATATATATTAATCCGCCTGAGCAGCGCAGCTGCGAGTAACCGCCGACGAAGTAGCACTATGACCTTTGAAAATACCTGGGAATGAGAACTCTTTTTCTTTCACGTGTTTCAAAGGTCTTGTTGGTAACCTAATTGCATTATTGATATCACAACTCCTGACAATATACCATACATATCTATGATGTAGTCTTCCAGCTACCGTCGCGTAGCTGATCCGAAGATGCCGCTATGCCTAGATACGGTTATGTAAGGTAGAAAAAACCCTAGACTTCTACATTACATCCAGCATCCCGGCAAAAATCTTTTCGCGCTGGCAGTATTTCGAACGTGAGGTGAACCACTCTCCACGTCACAGTAAGGAGACAAAACAAACCAAAGTAACAGAAGATATCAATATTTATGCAAATAATTAAATGAACTACATGTCTAAGGTCAAACCCATTATACAATAATACTTTATGCGTTCAGCAAATTTCGCTTCATTAATTAGCAGCATAGGTAAAAGTTTAGTGTATTATTATTACAAAAAAAACTGAATATATAACGTGCAGTTACATAAATTTGCGGCACATAGGAATCGCATCCCAGTTATGTGTTAAGAATTCCTACGTTAACAAGCCAGCTCCTTCTAAGCTCTTTAAACGCATCTTTTAAAAGGCTCTTTTCTGAGCTCTTCAGACCTTGTCTTTAAACCAATATAAAGAAAATAGTGCAGGGCATTCAGTAGAATTGCAACTTCATATTACAGTTTTCCTGTCATGCCACATACATTTACATGACGTCCTTGGTTCAGGCGATAAGGACAACACTGTGAGTAACCCGGAGCGTCGGCTTTTTTTTTAATGTAAATACGTATACAGGATTTATCAGATTGACACTTACATCGTCTCTGCAATCGTTAAATCTAAGGCAAATTAAGCCCAATGTCAACACAAGAACCTTCGACTCGCCTGCCGAGTTGCTTATCCTTGTCTGTTTTGGCGGATCTGACGAACTCGTTTGCCACTGTACTTAGCTATTCGGCAACGAGACCGGGAGATCCTGTGCTATCAATCAATTACTAGATTCGTCTCTGTACAAGGTGTCCTGCTTTAGGCAATTACTAATGTGATAGTATAATACGTAGTTCTTTACCCCTGAGTAAAAATCTACTTCAGAATTAGAGCCAGCAATTTTTTCTTGCAAGAACTTCGTTTCAAAATTGAGTTAGCGAACAATAAGAGAAAAACCATATACATATTAGTATTTATGGCATTATTTGTATAGCATCACATTTTACCAGTGCTATTGTTACATAACCTGCAATATCATCTTCTAGGCATTTCACGTATTTTTTTTTACAAACGGCAAAAAATCATTAACAGTCTACTTTCTGATTATTGTAAACTATAAAAAAGTTTACTATTAGTAAACTTTGTATAAACTGGCCATGCTTACTCATGCTTACGAAATTTCATTTCGAAGTTTGGATTAGATTTTTTTTCGCTTATGGTCGATTGTTGGTAACGACACTAATAATACATACCCATAGATATCAGTTGGCTTATTTTTTAAATACGTTCCCACCAATTCACTGTCCTGATAAGACTGGCGGTTATTGATATACAGATTTTCCTTTTCTGGAGAACGGTAGAACCGCCATTGTTTGTAAGCCAATCAATTTGAGGGTATTTAATTGTATCTCATACATGGCACAACAAAAGGGCCACAATAGACTATATATTCTCCAAATATTAATTAATTGAGACTCCAAGCTATACATTGACGGATTCTTAATAGTAAACTCACTGAAACTCAAGTAACCTATAGATTCACCAGCAATTTATATGTTTATACATATATATTACTACTCTGCATGTTTATTAATTTAGCAAATTAACTGACACCGACGTCTAACTATCGAGCCGCTATTTTGAATGACTTCTTTTTTTCTTTTATTAAATCACACACTCTGTAATGCATGTCGAAATTTATATGCCCTCATGTCTACAGAATCGGTGCCGTAATCAAGCTGGCTTAGTGAGATGATGGAAAAAGAACTCGAGTTAAAACTAGAGACGCGGTTAAAATATTTTATTACGCTGTTTGATACCCAGTTAAGATAAAAAAAATTTCCAGCTAATCTGGCCTCTATGCCTAAGCAAAACAAATGTGTATTGAATAATGCTGGTTGGGATTAACAAGGCCGTGTGACGAAGTTCTAGGTTACTATGGGGTCGCGCTTAAAGGTGAATGAAACCATTAAAAGAGACGATTTTATTTAATTTAAAAAAAAAAACGTTCAGTCAAAATCTCTTTTAGTGTACTGTTGGTGTAGTACCATAATCAAATTATGGTGAATTAATATTGCTTTGTAAACTAAATTAGACAACCTTTAGATTTAAAAGCAAAACACGAACTGTATTGTAGTCAAAATAAACAGTAGTTCGTCCTCTTCAGCAATGAGCCAAAAAAATAGTATGCGTAGGAACGAGAAATACTGAAATGAAATCACTTTTAGGGGGGTTTTAGCATACTGACAAGAGATGAACGAATCGTTCAGTCTATATAATGCATATAAACATCACCAAGTAATACTGCTTTTTGATCTTCAAATCTATCCGTTAGTTCGCATACTGGTGAAAGGTGACCTGTTGGGAATTGTTCTATCAACAGCTAGGGAGCTTACATCACTGGTACGGAATTCGAGTCCCAAGGGACGATCTTACGGTCATACCAGATGTATTTTCCCTTTGGATTGTTAGCATCTTTAGGCGGCAGCAGCGCCAAGTAGGCTGGAGCATCAGCGCCCTGGTCGGGCGTCAGTGGGCCCTTGTGACTTGACATGTCCGTGTCCACGTAACCCGGGTGAACAGAGTTAACAATCAGATCTTCCCTAGAGTCAACCTCAAACTGTCGATGGTGAATCAGAGCCAGGGCTGAAACGAGAACCTTGGACACGCAATAAGCAGATGAGCCCCATCCGAGCTCCTGATTCTTGCCGTTTTTAGCTGCCTTTACGAATTCATTTGCCAGTGCACTCAGCTGCTCGATGGTCAGATCTGGCGCAGAAAAACGAGCCTAAAATTACAGCAACATTTACCATTAGACAATAACAAATAAATATATATGTATACGATTATCCATCCATTGCAGGGGCGGAATCTGACGGTGACTCCATTTAAGAATCTGTTTCAATAAAATCCCGAATGTATGTATACGGCAATAGTTCGTATAAAACGAACAATATCTAACATAATATTACGATTTTGATTATGAAACGTATTTTATCACGTATTACAAATACATAAGCACATGTTTCAGCACACCTGAAGCTCAGCATTGGGAATCTTGCTTAGGTGTCCACAAGACGAGGAAAGATGGACCACTCGTGCGCCAGGTCGTAGCAGCGGAAATAGAGTCTCGGAAACCCGAAGTGTTCCAAAATAGTTCGTTTTTACCGTTACCTCAGCCTGTTCGGCAAAGGGAGCGGTCGAATTGTTCTTATACGCGATACCGGCATTGTTAACGAGAACATCCAATCCGCCGTATACCACCTTCAACCAATCCCGCAACTTGTTAACAGAGTTGGCATCATCGATGTCCAGTTGGTGAAAGATTGGGGTCTTGCCGCACTCCTTGACCACTACTTCTACTGCCCGTCTTCCACGATCTTCATCTCGTGAGCAGAGAATCACGTCGCCCTGTAAGCAAATATCATGCGATCAAGTTAGATTACAACAGAAGCTACACATTGTGCCTACGTTTAGGTGTTTCATATTGTCTCCATCGATTAGGGCGTCTCAAGCAAAGGTTTTCAGGCATTGATTTATACTCATCTCAGAAATTCCATACTTTTTATTCATTTGTTGAGTTTTTTTAGCTGTTTTACGCTGTACTGTGCCTGTTTATTATTTCAGTTTACCTTGTTTATAACTGTACTCCAGAATGTCTACATATGCTGAATACTCGTCACCCTTCGTTACTAGTAGTGGCATATCGCAAAAGCACTTTAATGTAAAAATTACGGCAACACTCACAGTAGGCAGTGTGACAAGAAATCACACGCATTGCGACTACTATTATTATTATTTAATATGTACTATTGTGCCCGAAGGAATGTCAACCGTTCTGTTGTCATCGATACCTATAATATACATGTTATTTGCAATTTTGCAATAAATACGTTAGATCAGTCCAATCTTGTTGAGTTTATCTGTGTCAAACAAATAGTTACAGCTATCAGGACCTATACAAGTAGGCGTAATATTTCGCTAAAATTCGTTTTTAAAATAGGCTTTTTAATTTTTACAATGATGAAATGATAAGGCAGATAAACGTGGCGGCCGTAAAACTTGAATGGATGCCAATAACCCCAAAGCAACGGGCACCACTTAGCATATGTCACAGTGCACACCAATGATAATCAAACATTTACGATAGCCGCTCATACTAATCAGTTATTAATTGTGATACACTGATTCCTGTGGGGACTGAGGGCGAGCTTCGCCAGACCGACTGTTCTTGTTAGCAACGTCAAAAACATCTATGAAATACCTGGGCACGTCACAGTCCATGGCTTTTAGCTAGAAAACTTTGTCAAAACTGAAGCATAAATCCATTTAGAAGTCTGTGGAAGATGCTCATGCAGTTTTAATTACCGAAATTCAGTTAGGTAAACAAACTAATTTATTGATTTTTTTTTACCAGAGTATATACGACTGAACAGACAGATCATATTATAACGCAGTCGTCTGCACAATCTCGGCTGTCACCAGAAAACTGATCTATGTAGTCAGCTCTACCCAGGCGTAACGTGTTAGCGGGTCGGGCGTCCACTTACCTTCTTATCCAGGCATTGTTTCGGTTAATGCTTTCGAAACGTACTATTTGTCTATGTGCATGTCTCAATGACTTGCAAGGTGTGGATTTCCAACCCCCAGTTAATAGTAAGCAGATCCGTGCTTGACAGCTGTGTACAACAAACTATCAATTCGCTTACATTTTCAATGGCGTTATGTCACATAGTTCTTTACAACGATTCATATTCAATGCTGAAAAACGATGTCATTTTTAATGGGTTAAACTGGGTTGTAATGAAGAATGAAAATCGGAGAAAGGCGCGTCGGCGCCAATCGATTACATGGCTGTCACACACTTGTATATAAGCTTTACTTGTCCCCGGAGCCTGTACAAATCAAAGAAATCTTTTCAGAATACATGTCCCTTCTAGTGCACACACCTGTCACTCAATAAGTAGTTTTAGCAACTGATTTAGAAACTGACGTTTCGTCTTTAAGAGACCTGAGGCAATTTCACTGTTGGAATTCTTTAGGAGCAACATACCGGGAAACATCGATTAAGAAGATGCTTTACGATAGACAGACCAATCCCTTTATTGGCTCCAGTCACAACGGCAACTCGCTTTACGCTTGTCATGATAGCAATAGAAATCCCTCGGACTATGACTTGCTTTTTAAACCCGTTTAGGAGCTTGAAAAGGACATTCAGATGTCTTGATTCAACAGTAACCTCCACACGCAATTGGCAGGAATCTGCGAATGATAAAAATTGCTCACCGACTCCAAAAGGCATTCGATATACATAGAAGCTTCGTTGCTAGATGCTGCACCAGCACCTGCCGTGTATTCGCGCATTTCTCAGGTCAGCTGAATGAGCAAATCGGCAGGTCGAAAATGTTCATTCATACTCACTCTTAGGATTTTTTTTTAATCCTTTGCATATTCCGACATTCACGTAATACAGATGCGCAAATGAAGCCCCACCTGTTTACGATTTTGCAGTATCGATTCGTGAATTCGACGCGACGCTTACTCAATCCACGGAACTTGGTAAGCAAAAAGATGATTTGGTAATGAGTATCTACTAACTCGTGACGCCCACTGAAATACGCTATACCTTGTGCTGCGGCTATAAAAACTGCCTATATTCGAGATGGCAGTAATACAAACGGTTTTCTAGCGTGGCTTCTAAATGGGTCAAAGCTTAGCAAAATAAAAAAAGTCAAATCAATAACTATGCTCGATTTCTAAATACGTTGCATGTTTAAAACTAGTTAAAATAGTATAAAAGTTAATTTTAGAAACACGAATCACGCCGGTAGACTTAACTCGGCTATCTTGATATTAAGCATATATGTCGAATCTTTGTTAAGCCGCGCAAACACACATTCAAGTGAGAAACAAATTTACTCTAAAACGAGCTGAAGCTTAAAAATTAACCTGATGATTTCATACAAGAAATAGCTATAATTTTCCAAGTCTTGTCCTGACATGTGCTTTCTATACTTGAGAGATCGTAAAATGACAGATGTTTTGAGTGATTTCAGCAATTTCTATAAGTGATTTCCACAAACGGTGTTGCTTTAGTGCTGTGATCTATATTTGCACTGTATTTGACTCTGAATAGAAATGTAACACGTGTCAGATGTACAATTATTGACGTCTTGATTCAACCACAACAATTCCAGTTAATTTAATTTCGCTAAGTTGCTCCGGGTTTTCATTAAGTCTGTTTACTGTGCACTTTTTCAAATCATCACATAAGAATACTGTTATTTTCGACAGCTTGAGATCAATTCTAAATAGGTATTCCATGAGTGCGCAAAAATGAGCGGCTCTTAGCGATACAAAGAAGCCGATCAGCTGGTCAACAATACGAGTGACTAGTGCCCGTAGCTGACGTCAATGCAACGGCAAGCTTCTATCCTCTACCTTCTTTTCAATGATAAACAAATAGAGAGAAAACTAGAAGAACAACGTTGCAAGCATGTGATCATCCGGTCTCTTTGTCGAGTGCGGGATAGTAGTGTTGCTAAGCGCCTTCGCAACTCTCCCTCTTCTCGTGTTTGTGTGTCTATCTGTCCGTCGAACTGCCTGTCCAGCTGTTAAGTAGGCGACTGGAACGTACGAGACTATGCCCGGCGGCATTATTCGCCTCGATACGGAGACGTGTACAGTAAATGCTGCTATTCAAAGAAGGCAACGTGGAGTGAAGTATGTCTCCAGGGAAAACAAGGCTTTTGCCTGTTCATCGTTCGTTTGTTCAAAATGTATAGAGACGGAGGAAACGCCTGGTAGACACCGACTGTCTATACGGATATAAATAGAGGGAAGTACTTTACTGAATTCTTCATCAATGTTGACTAGTTGATCGGAAAGTCTAGACGTTCTCAAGAGAGAGCCTCGAAAAAGAGTGCAACTATGACGGATCCCTGCCGGGGTTACAGTGTCACAGCACTGAAACAATTCGAGTTTCCATTGTTGCCCGAAGATATTGCCAAAGTCGAAATCTCTCCATCAAGCGAGAGAATCAGCTGTTTAACTACGGATGGCGATCTGTGGACTCTCGACTGTCCATCGGGAGAGTCGACTCTACAATTGACGAACGTGGCCGAGTAAGTTCATTACCATATAGTTCGTCTATATATATAGCTTAACACGCCTGTAAACTCTTACGTTTCCATATATGTTTATGAATAGATTGCCATAGCGATTGCTATCAGGATAATTTGAAACTAATATAATATGATAAAATGATAATAAAAAAGATTCCCAGTTATCGATAGTAAAACGAACTAACTATAAATAGGTATTTTCTATTTTTGAGTATCCGAGTGGCAGTATAAAACTCGCTGCAACATGTAATGATACAATTGATTCATTTGATTTGTACTTGTTACAAATAGCTTGCAAAAACTCGTACTCATTGGAATGAATTACTACAATCTATTTATATATTAATAAATTATGTGATTTAGTATTGTTAAACAAAGTACTTATAAACAAGGCCGGATCAGGGTTATTATATGTATATGTAACCTTATATGTAAAGTAAAGAGCACCATAATCACACGCGTTGTCGCGGCTGAATACTCTAATCCTAAATTATCCACCTGCGATTACTGGCTACAGCTCTACAACGATGATTGCTAAATGTTGAAAGGTTATTTATGTTCATTATGTTATTTTTAGGTTATTTTTTGTTAAAAGGTTATTTATGTACATCAGATAGAAATGCATAGCTTGAGGTCACTGTTCAGGAGAGAACCATTTTCTACCGTCGTGACGCCGGTCGCTATTTTTGATACCAAATGACATTTTCAATTTCTGTTTGAATAGAGTCTGGGTACAATTTTATACGTCACGAATTCTATGCATATTGTTTAATATGCAATGTGACAATCGGTTCCACCTTTGGAAACATATTTTCTCCATGCAGATATCGCTTCTTAAGGTCGTGGGTCAACAAAATCGCTGAACCCCATTTTCGAGGTATACATTAAGTATCATTGCTGCTACGAATCCATGATTCGATGACGCGGTTTTATTGGTTAGCGAGGTTATATTTCTCAAACTAGAGATGACCTAAAGCCAAAAATGCTACTTTATATTATTATAGAAATACTAATAATTCGCAATTATGCGAAATCTCTCTGCATTTAGCTTCATCCGAATGAAAATTCGATGTCACATTTAACTGTCTCAGCAATTGTAAAACACTAGGACTAAGCAGCTTTCAATTTCATGATCTCCTTTGGCCATTCAGAAATATTTCTTTATGAAGCATGTGCAGAAATTAACTCATAATAATGCACCTCGTAAAAGTTTACGCCATGTATGAATGTGCCAGAGACGAACTTATTGATTTTTTTTTGTTGAAAAACGCGTCGGCTGTGTTATATTCTAAGTGTGCTGTAAAAATCTCTTATAAACCAAACAAGGCACAAACTATAAAAAGAGATCTAGGTACAGTGTATAGGTGAGAAACAGAATTTATCTAATTGAACTTTAACAACACAAGCGCCGCCATATTGTAGGCTTGAGAACTGTGTGAAAGTATTATATTTACATCCATCCGTCGGAATCATCCGAACTGGTACTATTTGTTTTACGTCCATTGCAAGAAGGGTTTACCAGTTATTTATTATTATTATTAAGCGTACGTTCTCATGTCAGCATAATAATTATCTTTTTAGCTTCGCTTGGCAGCACAATACGACGTCTGATACAGTATTTATCATAAAAAAAAGTGGTCCAGATATCTACAGCACGTATCAATTTGCTTCAAAATTCGTCACGACAAACACAAATTATACCTCAGAATTTACAAGTAAGTGGCTAGAAAAATAATACTTACTTAATTTGCTAGGATGCTTTTCAGGGTCACCGATAATTACGCTAGTGAAATACTAATAGTGATTGTCGTTTTTAGGCAAGCGTATAATTATGAAAATATTCAGAGACACCTTTTTGGACCTACAATACAGCAGCGATTTGTATAAGCTAGTTAAGCCTTATTCCAGTTTTTGGGTAGGCTGTATGGCGTCGAGAACGTTTCATAATATAATACATCGAGAGCCTTTGCTTTTGAAATTACCCATTACCTTGGCCTATGACCGAAAGTAGGGCAACCAGTTGTCGCAGTGAAACTTCAAACGGCTACATCTGCACGAAGGCGTGCTGTAGGGATAGAAAATGAAATCTCGCAAAGTAGTTTCAGCTAATTCATTTCGAGTGTTTGTTGTGAATTGTTATTACGAACGTTTTTATTTGCTCACGCAGGTTCTTTCAGCCAAATATCACTGATATATTGCAGCGACAAGTTGCTTGTGATTCTACTTGACAAGGATAGGATCCTGTATAAAACAATCTCATCTGTCGTCCTGTACGTACAGTGGACCTTCAAGCTTAGCGGAAATGCCGTTGCATTTCATACGCTCAGGAACAAGTACATCTTTGTATGTACTGAGCAAAAGGAAATCAATTGCCTAGTGCTGGAGGATGGTACCCAGATAGCATGCTGGCGTCTCTGTGAGATGGTGAAGGATAATATTCAGGATTTTCTGTTTACGGCTAATTTAAACAAGCTATATGTCTCGACTGGCCGCAAGCTATTAGAAATTGAATGTCAAGGCGAGAGCTGGTATAATTTTTCATGTTTCCTTGGTGGATCTCGCTATAGGAATTTTCGACGAACAAGGAAAGTGAAGGTGATTGTGGACTCTCCAACGCCATTTGCGTTGGGCATGTATCGCGGTAAAAGTGTCATTTGCGCTGGAGAAAAACTTACCCTTATTGATAAAGTTCCCATTGTATTTCCTGGTCCCATAATGATTATTTCAAATACGATTACAATGGAGACAGGAATTCCAACGTTTCTACAGAAAGATTGCCTTAAAGTTCTTTACCATGGGATCACTACAAGAAGCATTCTTCAGCAGGTCCTTGAAGGAAAGGGATCGGCAACAGCGGAGAAAATATGCAAGTTGAACAACTGGAGTAACATTTCAATGGACGTGACTGTCCTGCAGCAAGGCATCGCCAACGAGCATCAGGACATGATCCAGTTTTTTTTCAAGACCAAGCTAGAGCTGTCACAATCGGCTATTCACACTACGATGAGCCATGAACGCTTAAGAATTGAATTCTCGTCATGGCAAGCTGTCATTCAAGAAGTGACGCGTAACGTTCAAGATGCCCTTCTCAGAAGGGAGTTTGCAGAGCGACTGATTAAGCTTATAGTTTCGTATATAGCGCAGTTACTCCACTGGATTTCTTCAGTTGAGGCGGCCACGCCAGTGCAGGAAGAATTTGTCTCGTATCTGTGCGCCCAGATGAATGTTTTTCGAGGGTTTCTACTTCAGACGTCAACGTCGATACTAGATTCGAATGAAATCGTTGATAATTCCCTTAATGCGTCATGGGATTATTTCTCAGAAGAAGAGGTTCTTCAGGATGCCATTGCAAGGGGCAAGCTCAATCAAGCGCAGGTTTATTTGAGCAAGCGTAAAGATGACCAAGACCTACAGGACAAGGCGACAAGAATTGGTCAAGAACTTGTTCTAGATTACGTCTTGTCAGGTGAGATGGCTGATGCATATAAACTGATGGAAAGTCTCGGATGGGATGTTGATGATAAGCTGAAGTTTTTTTTCCTTCACGTAAAGTCGCAAGACGCACGAGTGACAATTTTAAGAAAGATTCTGGAACGGCCAAATTTTTCCGAAGATCTGGTTAGTCTGCTTGGAAAAATGGAAGTTTATCTCAAACATTACAGTTGTCCTTCTGCAAAAGGTGTGCTCGATTCGGAGACGAGAGGTGAAGCTATTTCGACAACGGGTAGCCTGTTAGAGGGACCTAACGTCAGACTGATTCAGCACCACATGATCATGGGAAGTGGACGTTGCTCCTCTGGTCATTATACCGGGATAGTGCTAGCTTGGTTAGCAAAATGGGACAAGGAGACTTTTGATAAAATACTGTTACACTCCGGCACCGCAAAGGACGAAGTCAAAGAGATGGAGCCTAATTTAGTGTGGAACCATCTGCTTAAATATGTCAAGACGGAGCAAATAGAAGCGTTAATTAACTGTGTGGCCGAGTCGACCGGCGAAGTGTTTTCTGAAGAGTTTCCTAACGTTATAGAGGTAACCAGCGACATGCTGGATGCGTTAGAGGATGACCATGTTCTTCCTGACTTGGCAGAGGAGACTCGATTGCAGATGGCGAGGAAGAATTTGTTAAACGATTCAATTTTAGAAGATTTTCCCCGTCTGCTTAACATTATGTCAAAGATCAAAGTGTCAGTTTATGATTTGTTCGATGTTGAAGTGCTCCTCGAAAAGCATGATTATGTACATCGAATGATTCATTTCTGCTTGTCAAATGGCTACTTGCACTTCCTCCATACGTTTCTAATGAAGGTGCAAATACAGCCCTCATGCAGCGAATGCATGACACCGCTGCTAGTCGCTATTATCAAGTACAACGAATGGAGGAAACAGCCGAAGAAGATCCTTGGCGTTACGCTAGCATTTGCCAACGAAATATACGGAGCTGAGACCGTTGACGATCTTTGGTCAAGTGGTCGATTGCGGTTGGCATGTATTGTCAGCACAATCACCCTGAACTGGGCAGTACCTAGAGAGTTTATTGTCAAATTACCTCTCCCTCTAGCAGGCTTCATTGAAGAAAGCAGTGGCCAGTTTCGTGAGGATATTAGCATGTATCAGCTTCTCTCCAAGAGCACCTTTTTCGATATAACGAAAATGTTTGGCTTCCAAAAACGGAATAATATCTACGAGGGCGAACCGATGGATCTGCCTTATTTCGCACAGGAAAAGTTGGTCAAAACATACGGCTTAAAGGAGCCATTAACATACATTTACTATCTACTCAAATATCGGGTCGGCTGTGCAATCGAATGCTTCTTCCGAGACTACCGCGTGAGTCCAAAAATCCTCAAGGCTGCAGCTAAGCAAACCACGCAAATTGCGCTAAATCTGTTTACTGATGACAAATTTGTGACATGCTGTGTTGCCTTTATTGAAGCCATCGGTCAGGACTCCTACAGTCTCCGACTGCTGGTCGCCGTTGGGCGCCAACTTCTTCCACGCCATGCTAAACAAGAGGTCGTCGAAAATCTATGTCACGTGCAGTTCGCTAACTTATCATCGCTCACGGCCAGCCAAAATGCTGTTTACAGGGAGACCGCACAGGTGATCCTCCAAGACTTGGATAATATTGTGAGGGAGCAGTTTGTCAATGACCATTCACAAATTCCGCTGCTGAAACCGGACAGTGTCGTCTTTCTACAGCACGATTTTAGCCAACTCCATCAGCTAGAGATACCGTGTACGATTCTAGAGCTCTGCGCAGAATCGGACAACTGGTTGGGCTTCATAATATGGGCTCAGACGCTCCAGATTAGTCGGCGCAGAGTCATGCCATTGTTAAAGAATTTCTCGAACGTAATCTATCGTGAACATCTCGAGAAGGCCCTGTCTCAAGTCAGTTCTCTAAAAGACATGAACACCAAAAGTCTGACAACGCCTCGTGGACGGGTAAGTCATTTAGACCAACTGCTGCCTGATTATAATTATTACATTAGAGCTATATTTATTATATGTTTGTACAGACGCATACTTATAGTATACCTGTCAGATACATTTCTTGGCATTTACCTCGTGTATATTAGTAGTTACAAACTAGAATACTACTACGATGTTTATTCTCCGCCGTGGAGAGTCAATATCAGAATGATATTCGGGGCCAGTATTTAGCTACTCCGTTTCCGAAAGCATGCATATTTCACATATATATATATATATATATATATATATAAAAGAACAAATGAGTGTGTACAGAAGAGAGGGCTTATAGAAGACAGGCTTTATTTTGGTGGAATTTTCATTCTGATACAGCCGCTTCATACACACCTATTGGGAACGCGGAGTGCGTTGACAACGTCTTTTTCGGTTTGTCAACGTCTGTTGCGTGATGGCGTCGTATTGATATTGTTGTCATTTCCCGTCTCGCTGAGCATCGTCTACTACATAGTGGAGCGTTACGAGCTATTCCTAACTTCAAACGGCATGCAAATATACTGCCTGTTGTATATGAAGCTCTACCATTTTACGAAAATGCTAAAAAATGTAATTTACATTTACTCCGCGGTTGATTCGCTGCAAATATTACGACCTCAACATAGTAACAACACACAATTGCCTTCGGCTCACAGGACCTGAGAGCGTCATTATATAACAAAATCGGAGTGGTTAAACCACAGCAACAAATGACTGAGCGGTTCAGTTACTCACCTCCAGACCAGTTTAAGAAAAGAGAAAAAGACTCGAACTCGAACTCGGATCCCGAGTCGTTCTCGGTTACGAGTGACGACTCTTCACACACGCTGCAATCATCCAACACCCAGGGCTCAGGTAACGCAGTTCACCCAAGTCGTACCGTACGATGCCTAGTCGAAAATTACCGCCGTAAGATGTAGCAAAGCTAATTTCGATAACTCACCAGTGCACGCAGAAAAAAAAATTCTTAGCCTTCTTATACAATGTTCCGTCGAAATAATTATGACTTGCACAGAAAAAAGCAATAACTAAATCATCTTCCAAATTAGATTTTAGATATCCTTGAATGTAAAATAAAAATCATTATCGACTGTTTGTTTACTTTGGTTTGCTAAGTACCTTAATCATCGCTGACATGAATGGTCATGAGTGATACTGAGTTTTGTGGGCCAGTGCTTCGCTCGGTTCCACATTGCTTCATCACTCACTGTGACAACTACCGCTGTATAGAGCAAATTAATGTGAATGCTAATTCATCATTAATGTATTATTTCTATCGTCTCAGGCGGAACTAGTCGTAAGTACCCTTTGAATTTGATCGATCTCGTGGTTTCTGCGCATAACAGCGCCTCACCGGTGAACGAGCTTCTAGCAGCAGCTACTTACCATTGGAATCCCGCACCAGCACTCATAGCTACCTACTACAACGAAAATGTCCAACAGTGCTTTGCCGTCTGGCTAGAAACAACGACAATTATGTCGCACACAAAAAACTCTTCAGACAGAAGTCTCAACAATTTGCTCGAATGCGTGGAAAATGCGCTTAAGCTGCGATGTATTGCCTCCTTGCTCTTGGGCTATCAACTGTTCATTCCAGGTTCTGTGTGTACACCTTTGGTTACTTACATTTACAAATTTCTTATCAACAAAGCCTATTTTGGCGGTGAGGAGGATTGGAAATCGTTTCTCGACAGATATACCAAGGAAAATGCTGACCACGAATACGTTCGAAAAATTCTTATTTACGGTGTGTTAATTTGCGAGTCAGTTTATGAGCAGCGGCTTCTCCTGCGCAAGTATAAGTCGCTTCCGCAAAAAGTAACACCGAACTTTACGTTCTTCGCACAAATTCTCGAGAGTGTTGCCGACGCCAATTGGCAGCTACCATTCGAGCATCTGCTACTGGCCACCGACGCCGAACAAGTAGACGATGCGTTACGGAAAGAAGTTACGAGGCTAATTAATCAGCAGTTATACGAACTGGCTATCCGGTTCAGTCGCGCAGCATGTTTGCCTTTTGATGATATCCTCTGCGAACTGCTCGATCATCAGTTCGAGACAAGGACGACGAGAGTAGTGAAACAGGTGGCCGCTGTCAATGACAGACACCTGCTCAGGCGAAAGCTTTCAGCCTTGCCCGGATCCTGCGAGAATGCCGTTAATCCGCACCAGATGATGCGATCGGGAAGTATCGGATCGATCGTAAGCGACAGCAGTGAACGAAAGATCTCAGCATTAGCGACTCAGCGCAGCATCGATGAATCTGAGGTAAAAGAGAAATCTTTTTGGGAAACGGCGCAAACTCTATTCCGGAAATACAGTGTCAAAGACACAACGGCATTTCTGTTTTTTAAAAAAAAGAGTGAAATTGTGGACAACTACAGAGATAAATTCATAGCGATGAAATATGGACTCCGATGGATAGATGCTGAGGTAAGCGGATGTATTGACTTCTGGTTACGCATGAAAGATCTAACCTTATAGCAATTTAGACAGCATTCTCTAGTGCAGTGACCTGAGCGACTAAACACGCTTATTAATGAAGTTTTTACCGATGCCTATAAACTAAATGCACATTGTAGTAGATTGGTTCTGGCGCTCCGTTTCAAGATGGCCTTCGTCTGAGGCTTCAACTAAGTCAAGTGCGTCTTCGGTTGACATTAAAAGGCGCTTGTGGGTTGAAAAGCAGCAACACATATCTTGGAATTAGATGGAATTTGTCAAAGAGCTATATATATATTCTTTATTTCCTGTTAACTAACAATAACTTTGGGGTATTTGATTATACGGTCGGAATTATAAAGGCTCCAAACATTACTAACTTTAAAAAGACTTATTTCTAACGTTGCTTTGACTAATTGAACTAACAGAAGCGTACTTTAGGATGTTTGGAATGAACGTATGATGTGGACTGTGTAGTTATCGATACATCTAGAATAAACATGTGGCTTGTGATAAGCAGACTTTGATGTAAGTGAATCGAGGCGGAAGATGACCGCATCTCTATGAAAGGGGCACCTACAAAGATGGAAATAAAGCTCGAATAAATATTGCTTGATCTTACTACCTGTCTGCAGTGTGCCATCTTTTTTCGGTGTTCATCTACTGCTATTTTTCTATGTAGTGGTATAAATTTTCATTCGTCTGTTTCTCAAGTCTTAAGAAACCTTTTATTGATAGAAAGTACTAACTTGCTAAGCTAGCGTAGTCTACGTAGTCTGTTTCACTGCTCTTCAAGTTCTGTCTGTGTGTATCTGCTTCAAGATGCATCGAGTCGTCTGTTGGGACTATTTGCTTAAATGTATTGAAGCTAAGGATATGGACATCTTAAATGAAATTGACTGTGAGTCCGAGGAGTTGACTCTACTACGTAATCAAGATATTCCATCCGCTAGGAGACACGTCAAAAGTGAATCGGTACCGTAACCTTTAGACACATATTTACATATTCGTTTATGTCCCTTTAGTTCACCACCTATACGGCGACAAAGTGTAACAATTTTTTATTTGCTTCTTATCGCTCACTTTTCCAAGAGATAAAATTAAACGTGCATACTGAATTTTTAGTTATAAAAAAAACACAAACAAACAAACAAGCGAGTGCTGTTATATGAAATAATTACTTCATAACTAATGAAGCACTAAGCAATCTAATAACGCAACTATATATAAAAAAACAAAAAAAAAACAAAATATCTACGTTGATGCAGGAAAGAAATGCTGTGCAGATTGTAATAGACGCCCTCCTGGCCAAAGTAGCGTTCCGTCAGGCGCAGTTTGTATCAACGGTATTTTGCACTGAGACGTTGGAGTACCAATTAGCAGTAACAGCTGTCCAGCTTTCCCAGGGACTTATTGTCAGAGATTCTTTTCATCCGAATATCAAAGAGTTCCTAAAAAAACTGGAGGAAGACCCGTCCAGGCCAAAGGTATGTGTTCTTAATTAGACGTATCGTGTGTCTAGTACTATAAACGTCATAGCAAATTGGAAGCGTCATAATAGCTTGACCGTTGAATAATGCACCAACTTTGTTGTGAGAAGTTTTATATAATAATAATAATAATTTTTATTAGAATACACCGAGCTGAAGTGCGCAAAATAGGGTTCTAAAAACAAAAATATTCTTATTCGTTTTCACACTTGTATCTGCGGTGCTCGTGCCTTAATAAATGACATGTTTTGCATATTTTATTATTATAATAGTTTAGTTGGGCATTCTTATTGGAAGTAACTCTCAATCATTCGAACGTTCGTGACAACTCGGTTTCATTCATATACGCCGAACACAGATATTGCTATTTATTTTTGCCAATAGGTTCGCTTGTCAAATGCACTGGATTCTGAATCTTGCCGAGCCATTGAAGATTTATCGTTCATTGCTCAATCGTCAAAAAGAATCTGCCGACGGATTTTGATTCTACATCTGTTGGCTTTGTCGCTCATGGTCGAATTCGATAGTCTTGCCAAAGAGTCTGACCCACTGCAGTTACTAAAGCGAATCCTAAATAGTTCGCTCAAACCAAAATTCGCGTTGGCCAAGGAACTTGTTGCTGTGTACTCTATAGAAGACGTGGTACTGTCGTCCTTTATCTACCGCGAAATACAGAAGGCCCTCTCGTTCAACAATGAAGAGTTCAACGAGTTTGACGTGCTCGGTAACTTTGAAAATGTTATTAGCATCTGCAAAGATGCTACGATTCTTGGTAACCGTATCTTTTATGGACTTAAAAAATATGAGGATGCTCAGCTGGAGACGGACAAACAAGGTAAGTGGAAAACACAAGTTCCAATGAACTACATAAGAAAACATTTCGAAAGGCTCGTGACATGCAGCTTGTCTTTGAAGTTAATAAAAATTTTATGAACTTTCACCTATATGCTCCATATCTGTTTCAGTACTTTACAACGAAGTGGAGCTGTGCATTCTGGCTCATAAATGCTTTTCAGTCGCGTGCTGTATGGAAGGGATTTCACACGTGCTCAAACATTGCCACACCCTTGTTCACTGGCTGATACGGTAAGAACAGGGATGTGTACATACGTCAGGATGACCTGTAATTGTCTTAAAATTAAGCCCCGCTTTCGTATTGACGCGGCATCCTTTATATCTTAATAGCTCTCCACTAGTCGAGCAGATGGCTCTATATATGAGACCAATTTACGGAGGCTTTTTTTCAGTTAGACTGTACATTATTGCCTCTTTTATTACTTCGTCCGTCTGTAACCTTATTCAACTCGTGTGCGTGCATTAACACCTATATGATATCTTTGTTATTCTATTGCAGACACAATAAGTTCGCTTTAATAATTCGTCTGCTAACGGGCATCGGTCAATACAGTGAGATGACATTCATATTTGACGCGCTCGGTAAACATGGCCACTTTGAAATGCTCATCCAGCAAAGCATGGAAAAGGTTACCACCGGCAGTACTTCGACAAAAACGGCTTATAGTCTAATTGCAGATCTCTTTAAAACAAGATCTTGCATATTTGGGTCATTTGTTCCCGATTTGACCTCTGCACATTAACGAATTACTAACGGTTAAGAATATTGCCAAGATTATTGATAATCAACAAATGCGAGGTCTGTTTATGATGCGCTAATTTCTCATTATACACTTTTTATTTCGGACATGTTGTGATAACTGTACAGGGACATTTCAGTTACTAGTACTAGCAAAGTCAATGAAATCAAGTTCATTCTTTAATAAAAAAAAATGTACGTAACGCTTTTTTTAAACTCTAATATATGGAACATATTGCAAAAAAACTTTATTGTTCGGATTACGATATGTTCGTAGACTTTCATGAAAAAAATTATTGATTTCACTCTTTAATTTTATTATAGGTACCGCATCTCAAAGTCGCCTTACTAGACTACTTGAAAAAAAAAAAAAAGCTTTCGCAGTTAGACAAAATTTTCAAGCTAAATTTCGCAATGCACCGTGAGATCGCGGAAATGAATTCTGAGTCGGCACAGGAACGAATAGTACAGATCGCCATTTCCGATGGTCAGTTAAACTTTTTCATTGAACGATTTAAACAGGATTTGTTTTTAATATGTTCAGACTGTGTGAATATCAATCTACAACGCTCACAAGAAGCGACAGAAGGCCTTTTTCGTAGCAGAATTTAAACATTAATAGATGTTCATCCCTGTTTCGTTAGTTTACACACAGCATACAGAAGTAGACGGTCCGGTGTTTGTATTCTCATTTTTACATCTGAATTGATTAAATATTCCCTTTTCAGTTCTAGTTGCATTCAAGAGACACTTACATGAGAAATGAGTTATTCAATTTCAAGCGATGGTGTGCCGTGCACATTTTCTCACCTAATGGCATTTGCTTCCTTTATGCATTGTATTCGATGGTGCTTCGTATTGCGCATGTGTCGTGGCAGGCATTACCTGGCCGGATTCCGTCGACCTCAATGAAGCACAAGCTGCCCTTGATGTCGTTATGGTTGATCTCGCTGATGCCGCCGAGGCTTTCGTGAAAGCTGATTGCCCTATGCGTGCACTTGAGTGCGCTCACAAAGCCGAATTGCTTGCACTTCAGATACATTACCTCAGCAGCCCCCAGCTTCACGGCATTGGTTTAAACAAACCTAACAAGATCATCAACCTTTCTGCCGAAAGTAGAATAACTTGGATAAACAACCACACGGTTAGTCTTTATCATGAGGTACACAGTATACACACGAAAGGTGAAAGCTAATTACGAACGCGCTCATTATACACAATGCTCTAGTACCAGCCATGGCCGAAAGCTATTGATGTAAAATGGGACTATAGGAAAAGCTGTTTTATGAAGTCAGATAAAGCATTTTAAGTGGTATTATAATGTTTTCATTATAATGCCACTTAAAATGGCTTGTTTACCTTTTTTGCGATCCTGTGTCTACCTTAAGAAAAGATATGAAACGCGAACACAGAGAATCCGTGGTCAAATTTTGTTGTTGACCTATTTTTTTAATATAGGTGTTTCCAGAGGCGTATCTTGTCGCAGAGGCATATCACATGCGGGTCGCTTGGCATGCTCCACTTTTCCTCAACGTTATAGTTAAAGGCAATGTTGATTACCTCAAGGACTTCGAGATGCGCTTACATCTTACCCAGGAAATCGTGCAGAAAATAACAGATTGGTAAGAGTCCAACTCGGCTTTGGCCGAGATGCTGTTTCAAAGCCAATGACTTTAAATCATCGCTGAAGTGTTTTATTTTTTTCAATTATTATGATATCGGTAATGATAATATCGTGAAAACAGGGTAATGCATTATCCGTTCTTGGAGTTAACAGTGATTTTCTCAGCCGCGGTATAAACTACTATATGTTTTCTTCGATCTGGATTAACTAATCACTACCACTATACTGTTAGATATTAGAAATATTCAACCAACTAGTAAAATGGAGCCCATTAAACAAATAAACAAACTAAGAAAAATGTTACGTTAAATAAAATATCCACACTTTCTAACTAAAAATTAATAACCTAGGTCAGTGTGTGGTAACGAAAATGCACGAAGCACCCCTACAAGGAGATTGAGATTTTATTTATGTAAACCATGGACAATATATAAATCTAAGTATCTATTATTTAGCTGTTCCAACATTCGTTACTTAACTCAAATGTATAGTGATCATGTAGGTATTGTACATATTTGCTATTCATATTAGAACAGTAAACACATGATGACAATTCGATATAACGCATATTTCGCATGGCTAACAAATGATTCTTTACTAATTGATTGTCTAGTTACGCGCGCTACCAGCGGCCGACACCGCAAATGGCTGAGGCGATGGAAAATATTCTCGAATGTTTTAATGATCTCGAAACGAAGTATCGCTGTGCAAGAAGACTCGGCTTCCAGCTTGCATCGAGGCTCGCTGCCAATAACGCTATACTCGCGGATTTACTCCAGGAGGCATTGGACCATTGAATAGCAGCATGAACCCCTAATGGAGCTTAATATACGGAAATGCCTGAGGTACAATTGGGCCTCGAATAAGAGACGTCGTTTTGTTTGTCAATATCCCAAATCGGAGTTTACCCCATTACTGTTTATGTGCCACTAGAGAGCAGCGTGTTCTAAAAGTGCGCTAATAAAGAACGTACTTTCCTCTTTGGAAGAATCTCGCTACCAGTGTCACATGTTTAAGCCCATTAGCTAGCTGGTAAGAAATTGCTTGTTATATTTAATTACTGACGTCACTAAGAAACTTCTGAATAAATAGATGATAAGGATATGGGATGCCGCTTACTTAGGCGGCAAACCAGGGTCTAAGAAATTGTGTGACAGGCATATGTAGGTTACTTTGTAGAGTATTTATAAAATTAATATAAATTTATGTCATGAATAAGGATGTGAAAAATCCTTAATATATTAATAGAAAGAGTACCTAGCTTCGTCGCTAATACACACATAGACAAATGGACCTTGCATGTAAAGAAATAGATATACCACTATGCTTTTTAGGAGCGGCATGTAGGAGGATGTATGGTTTAAAGTTTGCAGTGATCGATTGCCTAATTGTTGCTGAAAAAAGTGAGAACCAGCAACCATAAATTGATGAGAAGCACATATATTTATATATACTTATTTTATAATTTTGTTATATCAAATATAGAACAATTTCGTTATCAAATGATATACTGTAAAAATTAAATGAACATCTAGTCTCCCACCAAGAGGTAGGCTTATATATAAAATGCCACCGTATATTATTTGTGTACCAAATATTTCCGAGGTATCACCATACGTTCATCGATAGAATAATACGTGAAAAGCTGCGTTATAGTTTGTTATATTTATGAAATGATGCCGTTTATCGCTATAAGTTTCGACCGACGGCGGACGAAGTTGATATTTGTATATGGAGATTTATTTTGTTGAAATTCCAGTGAAAAGTAAAGAATACAGATACATGAAAATTCAAAATATGTACGTGTTTATGTATGCATACAAAATAATGCAAGCGTCTGTACCATGATATGCGGTATGTTGTTACAACAGGTTATGAATAAATGTTCCTATATTCCGTAGGGAGTCTATTAAATAAACTGGTACTGGAAGGTATTAAATGGAACAGAAAGAATCAGACGAGGAAAAAGGATAAATTAAAGTAAGTTTGTTGCAAGGAAGAGTTTACTATTAGACTAAATATGTAATAACTATTACATAATCATTGTATTTTACGGTTATCTTTCGTCGAATAGTCAACTTTGAATTCTACTAGTTTAGGTAGTTCTTTGAGCGAAAACCTAGATACGAAAGCGTCATTTTGCTTCGATCCTATATATATTTTTTAAAGACAGCCTATACCCAGATGTATAAAAAATCACGATTTCGTTCTTTGATTTATTCTTTTGATTCTAAACATCAATACCTATACTTCCAGACGAGTCTCGTACAACGCAATGAAAATTGCTATCGGTCAAATATCGCAAGCAATCATATACGCAAATCCTGGCGGATTCTATGTTCAGGCCTGGTAAACGACCTAATAAGTTGGCAAGTGCATCCTGTAAGCCAATTTTCTCGTTAATAATAGATGGTTCTCTATTATTTTTCGTGCAAATAATATGAGTATGTTTGAGCCAACTAAAGTCGCCGAAAATTAGGATTAAGCAGGATATATGTATATTTTTTATCTGCTCGGCAAAATACTAGATAGGTAAACGCTATATATTATGCTAATATAATGCCAAATATTTAACGGTTACTGGCTAAACTGGACGATACCTGTTTTGCTAGCTACACTACAATTGGGTAGCGGGCTTGTCTGAACCAAGACGACCGTTAAAGTGACACGATATAACTATGACCTGCTGATTGTGGGTCGCTAAAGCTTCGTAATGGGAATATTTGCGCGCGAGATTGGGCCGATCGGCTAAATATTTGTTCCGCCAACGGAAAACATTCTTTGTCTTTCAGGGAGCGTAAAGTTCGTCTAGCTGATCATAAGTGGAGGGCAGCAGTTTCTTTTTCATTTTCGACATTTAAAAACCAGCATTTACAAACACCATGGTGGCTGATAACCACCCGTGCTGATATTTCACCAGTTTGAGAATTCTGTCATGCAAACAAGCGTGCTAAACGTGCGTTGGGTGAGGAACTGTGGTTAAGAAGTGCGCCAACTAATACATTTTTTAAAGGATCCAGTTTACGTTTGCCTGCAACACCATTGTGATATTGAATGCTTCTGTAGGAGAGGTCATATACAATAGTGGTTAATAATGATACATTGTCAATAGACCAAAGTTGTAGGAGCCGAGGCGAGCTAGTCTTATGAGGGAATTCGTTCGCGTGGTTTATCCTCCTGACGAAGCGGCACTTTTTTGACGTTAAAGTCTACATAGATTTATTCACGAATGGAAAGCAACCATTGATTAATATGATTATGACGACCAGTAGCACTGTCGCCGAAGTCCTATTACCACATTATGGAAGTTAATACAGAGATCCCGTGCAAATGTACACATGCGTAAAAATTAAAAAAAAAGCTCCGACACTCAGGTCAACCCTAGTATAAAGACAGTCTGTCTCTTTGCCTCTATACAGGTAAAAGATTACGTGTGTAATAGCACAACAGGCGCGGAAGAAAGCCCGAAGCCGAACCAGCTCCGTTGCTATTGCGTTGCACGTATCACAGTACTTGTGATACGTTGACATTGGACCGCACAAACATATCTGCTCAAGTTTCGATCAACTTGTACCGCGCTGCGATATTCGGCCTGTTCAATCACGCTCAGGCAAGGCTGGCTAGCGCGTATAGTGATTCTGCCGACAAACCAGAATCCAGCAGTGACAGCGAAGGCTCACACACACCAGTCGAGCACGACACCCTGAAGCGCTCCGACTATATCAGTGAAATCTCACGAGAGGGCCTAAAGCCGCCTACCGACAGCGCTTGGACGTCCGGCATCCTGCCCCATCATATAAGCATGCCCAGATGTCATACCCTCGTCCTATGTTAACAGTGACAACTCCATTACTTTTACACGATGAGAACTAAGATATGCATTCGCTTCTCGTAACGGTGGACGACAACCCCGAGGGATACCCGGTGGGTCCGTAGCCATCCTTTCTTGTTAAGCGTACCCCCTGATCAAAGGCGACCTGTCAATAGGCATATGAGTGATCAATTCACAAGCCTATTTATAACGGCTTATTTAAGCATCTCAGTAAGAAAGGAACATGAGCTAGTGAAATAATCATTTATAGAATACGTCGAAAGGAGTACGTGAAGAGAGGTATGTTCAGTACTTACAGGCAAGTCGACAAAATATATAATTTTCACGTGCTCCAGTAAAATATTTGTTAAAATCTGCAGTCTTTCAAGCTGTTATAAGATAAGAATGTGTTGCAAGAAATGACGGCAAAAATTAACCGTCGAGAAGACTCTCCGTAACAAGCAAGCGCAGGAGGCGAACCATTTTGCCGTTCACCAAAATAAAGAGAAGTCTGATATAGGTAAGAAAAATATTTTGCCACGTTCTGTGATGGAACTTTAAACAACGCAAACCACAAATGTACATAGTATAAGTTGATAACTTTGTTCATTTGAATTTCTGTTACACGATATAAATTCAATAATTATTTTGACATAGTTTAAACAGGTAAGAGTGCTCAATGTTTACACGAATCTGTTGTGTATTCTTTGTTATATAGATATTTTAAAAACGTTTATCATCGAAAATGTTGGTCTTGATGCTTGGCTTCACTGTGGGGCTCAATGAGAATATTTCTTTCGAAAACGAGCTGGTGAAAGCGAAAAGGGATTGTGCAATTTACCTTCTTTACATAAAATATTATCACACGGTCCAGTACAACCAGGTGCAAAGTGACAGGCCTTGCGTTTCATTTCTTCTAACATCGCGGACGGTACGGTCTGTATTTGAGAATGCCAACGCGGTGCGATTTGATGATGGTCGTGGTTTTCCAGTCGTTATCGCGACGGAGTTCACGAACGACATAAGGACATTTTGAGTAGATTTTTTTGTCACCACCGGGTACTGGTACCGGAATTGTTAAAGTATGCTCTCCGCCGAAGTTGTAAAGATGTTCGAAGAAATCAACCCATTCATGTAGCAAAAGCTTGAAATATGACACTAGCAAATGAGGTCATAACGGTACATGTATCCAGCGGCATCAAAAGATATGCTCAAGATTCTATCTGCTTCTAATAGATAGATATCCTTATTTAGTAGAAATTTGCTGCAATCATAGGCATGATCTAAAAACATTTATCATTTTTTCATGATCGACCTCGGGGAAAACAGATTTCTATTCAAATATTAAGGAGAGCTTATACATAAAAGGATAAAACGCCTTTTAGTTGCTTGATACTCATCGGCCGAACTTTACCTGTTGTCAGTATTTATGTTTACTTCTCGAAGATATGATAAATTTCAAATCGCTCACAGGCGTGTCAGTGCTACGACCCGCATCTGACGTGTCACAAGTCAGTGAGCTGTATCTCGTTGGAACACGTCGACAGTTGAAAAAATGATAACCGACCATTGCTGAGAACGAAGACCTCGGAGCTGCCAATTCAATTTGAGCAAAGTAAATTAGTACTTCCGCCAATGTCAACGCTACGCGATAGAAGGACCTGTTCTTCAAATGCGAAAAATGTAACTCCAGTTTCATTCCAGGGAAGATAAAGTTGCCCGACATATAGCTCCTCGAGGAATTGGACCATTTATACAGAAGGGACAGAACCGGTTGTTCATTTTGAAAAAACGACTGCCACTACGATATGCTTGTGTCGACGACTTCATTTGGAGAGAGTGGGGTGTTCCGTGTTGTCGAAGGCACGTACAGTTCTTCGCTAATTATAAAAAGTCCAGTGTACCATAGCGTAGGTCCCCTAACGTAACCTTGTCACGAGCCGTGCCAATTTCTGCAGGTTTACTTCATAAAGCTTCAGAACATCGTTTAAGCCCTTGAAAATACTCAGACGGATCAATCGCTACTTTCTCCGTATGACGATAGGTAAAAGGCCCCTGCAGACGTTCGAGACGCTCGTATCATCATTGGGCCGGACAGGCGGCCAGTGAGGACCATGAAAGGACATGTAATACCCAATCAGCTAACACAGTTGGACTATGTAAACCGGCGCGGCCTCCCGTGT